AGGGTTAGGGTTAGGGGGGAGGAGGAAGGAAGGAAGGGTGCAGAGTGAAGGGATAGAGGAAAGGATGGAAAGGCAAAGAGAGGAGGAACAGAGTGAAAGAAAGAGAGGAAGGATGAACAAATCTAGAACAGGGAGGAGCGGTGAATGAGTGAAAGAAAAAAGGAAGTAAAAAGGAATAGAAGAACTTGCGGAGGTGGTTAAGGGGCAGAGTAAGAGAAACAATAGAAGGAGGAAGAAATGAAAGAAAAGAGGGGAGGAGGAGAGGGGATTGAGAGAAAGACAGGAAGGAGAAAGTAAAATGTCGAACTGCTACGCCACAGAGGGTGGTTAAATAAATTAGTGTAAAGTTCCCCATACACGCTCACATTTGTTTGACGGTTTGATCAAATATGTTTGACACCAATTTTTTTGATAGGTTTTTGATCGTGTATAGGCGTGTTTGATGGTCAAAATAATTTGATTTCAAATATTTGACGGATCTATTTTCTGTTGATATTTTTTGGCAAACCGTCAAACTATGTGATCGTAGGCGGGCTTCATCAAATTTATTTGGGTAAACTTTTTTTTTTCAGGTGCTGTCGGAAAGAGAGAAAAGATTCAATTTTTACATCATCAAGGCCCCATTAAGGGAGGGAAAAAAATGTACTGGAGCTGATTGAAATGTACCAGAGTTTGCCTGAACTATGGAAAGCTAAAAGTAAAGAATAATAATATGTGAGGCAGTGTCTTGGAATCAGGCTCTCGTCAATTTTTGGGCATATTGAGCTATTGGTATCATCTAAAAGCTTGTTCATTTGTCTTGCTTTCAATAAAACAATTGCCCATCCATCTTCAATAAAAGTGGAGATATTTGGATTGGAGGAGGTGGGGGTCACCTGGTTTAAGACGTAAAATTTGTGAGAAAATTGCCCCCAAAGCTTGGTAAATTCCAAAGCTGGAGAGTCCATGGAAACTGTTAAGTTGTATTTTTGTGCCTTTAATCAACGTTTTTCGGTGAAATTCTATAAGGAATGTCTTTGTAAATGGACATAAAAGGTGTTGAGCTGAAAACAAAAATTTGATATAAATTGCTTAGCAGGGAGAAAACTGTTGTTTTCTTCGATTTCATTATTTTGACGAGAGCCTGATTCCACCACGATGCCTCACATATAGTGATCGAGATTTTGAAAAAAAAGAAACTCTTTCACACTCTGCTGCTGAAATGCAGGGAGTGGTATGCAGATACCACCAAAGAAGGAATGAAATAAAAAAGAAAATTAACTCAATGAGGACGAGTTTTCGAAAGGAATTGAAGAAATTAGATGATCCTCATTAGCTGGGGCCAGTGCAGATAATATCTACATGCCTTCATTGTGGCCTTTTGGTGCTCTTTTATTCCTGCGTAATCGAAATACACCGTACGGTCCCAGAGCAAAAACCAATTATACGCCAACTTACTTTTATTTTTTATTTTTCTTCGTAAGGCTTAAGCAAGAGCTAACAACGTTGGTCCGTCCATTACAAACTCTTTGCACACACTAATGTTTGACAAAAAAAATTGAGCGTAGTAGGGCCAACGTTAATGTTGATTAAAAATCTTAAACAAACAGATTCGAGCATATATGGGGCACTTAACTGACCTGACTTTGTACATTTTTTTGTGGTTAAAAATATATATATATATACACATGTGTGTGTATATGTTGTTGTTATTTTTTTGTTAACAGTTTTACGGCGCTCCCAACTGCATAAGGTATGAGTGCGGGGGACATATTAAATGTTTACAGTTTTTGGTAGAAATTTATTTTGAATTTTGCAAGAGTGGCGGCCTAAGCCTACTCTTATTAATTTTATGAAAACCAAGGGATCTTTAACGTGCGCAACTTGCACACGGGACCTCCGACATTTTTTAACCCTTATCCGAGAGGGATAGGTGTTTGATCTTACCTACTCAAACATGAGGGTTGTGGCTGAAAGAGAGCAGTAGGGATGAGCCAAGGAGTACAGGTAGAAAGGCTACAGAAAGATGTCAGGAGCTCAGAGGAAGGGGAAAGTGGAGTCAGTAAGGAGAGAGAGAGAGAGAAAGAGAGAGAGAGAGAGAGAGAGAGAGAGAGAGAGAGAGAGAGAGAGAGAGAGAGAGAGAGAGAGAGGGGGGGGGGCAGAAAGGGAGAGAGAGTGAGGGAGAGAAAGAAAAAAAAAGGGTGGGGAAGGGATAATTGCAAACAGAAAAGACACATACAGACATGTGCAGAGAGGAAAGGGGCAGGCATTGCAAACTATTTTTCTAGAGGCTAAAAAAAAAGAAATACAATTTTTGTTTTTCTTCAATACTGCTAAAATCAATTAATTCATGTGAGGAGAAATAAGTTAGGCAGCTTGGTGAAATCAGGAGCTCGTCAAAATAACGAAAGCGGAGAAACAGGCATTTTCAACCATTTTTGTGAGAGAAAAAATTGACCTCTTTACGTAAAAAAAACACAACATTTTTAAGTGAATTTTACACTGAAAAACATCGATTAAAAGCACAAAATATGTCATTTTTCCGTATCCAAAGACTCTTTAGCTAAGCAAGTTACCAAACTTTGGTGAGCATTTTCTCGCTAATTTCATAACCGGAACTAGGCGACTTAATTTCTTTCAAATATAGATTTTCTTGAATTCTATTTAACATAAATAGACAATTAAATATTTCATAGGAAGAAAAGCAAACAAATCAGCATTCCGATGATACCAATAACTCCACATGCCCCCCAACAAATTGACGAGGGCTTGATTTATCCGCTTTGTGACACATGGTAAGTGACATGATCGTCTGGTGCATGGTCACCTGATATGTGGACATTCTAGTGTCCGAGTGGTCAGTGAGTCCAACCAGACAAACAATTGGTCGCTTTTTAGGACAAGGGGGCTGTCCCGAAAAAATGCTGTTTTGAGATAATCTTAGGTAAAAGTTTTTGCCCCTTGTTTAGTTTCTTGAAAATACAAGAAGAGTTTTCTCTATAATCAAACAAATATACACACCTATGAAACTAAACATCTCCTATAGGTGGGGCAATGCCCAATTTTTGGTGCAGGTCAAGATTTTTTTAACCCCCTAAATCTGGGTTAACCTGCTCGTCCTTAAAAGCGACACACATTAAAGGGGTAACACTTTATATACACTGGAAATCAAAAATAAAGAGTACTGAAAAGTTACACATGGAGCCAATCCCATAAAACGGGGTGCAAAGCATGGACAATCAATAGACAGTTGGAAAGAACAATTGAGGCGAAAGAGTTGTGGTTCACAAGACGCATGCTGCGTATCCCATGGACAGCTAGAAAAAACAAATAAAAAGTCTTGGTTCAAGCCAAGTGCAGACGGCTGCTCATGGCCAATATACAAAACGATTAGACAAAGTTCATTGGACACACAAAGCGGAAAGAAGCATTGGAGAATGTTTTAATAACAGGCAAGTTTGATGGAAAGAGAGAGAGAGAGAGAGAGAGAGAGAGAGAGAGAGAGAGAGAGAGAGAGAGGCAGAGGCAGAGGCAGACAGAGGGAAAAGATACTGGACAAGTTGAAGAAAACATGGCTGGGAACAGCAAAAACGATAGACACCATCGCTGAAACGCAAGACAGAGTGAAGTGGAGGTCCCTGATCGCCCACGCCAGTCACCAAGGCACCGGATTATGTTGATACACAGAAGGTAATTTCTCCTCTCTACGCAGCTAATTTTGTCGCCCAAGTTTAATTTAGTTTTAATTAGTTATCATTTTACGGCACTTGCTGCTCAGTTAGGTCATAGTTACACGCGCCGTAGAACACTTACAACCCCCCCCCCCCCCACATACACCACAGCACCTGCTAACCAACCCTGTCGTTCAAGCTTTCAGCCTCAAGAAATTCCTTAGGACGTCATTCCTACTTAGCCTATTCGCTTGAAATAATACCAAACTGAGTACAATTGTGAGGCAGCGTGGTGGAATCAGGCTCTCGTCAATTTTTGGGCATTTAGAGTTATTGGTATCATCTTAAAGCTTCTTCACTTGTCTTCATTCGGATGAAAAAAATATCCATTTATCTTGAATACAAGTCGAGATATTTGCGAATGAAGGAGGTGGGGGGCACCTGTTTTCAGAGGTAAAATTAGTGAGAAAATGACCGCCAAAGATGAGTTATTTCCATAGCTTGAGAGTCCGTGGAAAATGAAAATTTTCATATTTTGTGCTTAAGCAACGTTTTTCTGAAAAATCCACACAGAAATGAGTTCTTTAATGGGCATGAAAGGTGTTGAGCCAAAAAACAACAATTTTATTTTAAAAATACACAAACCTGCGGAAAAATGCAAATTTCTTCACTTTGATTATTTTGACGAGAGCCTGATTCCACCATGTCGTGACACAATTGAATGAAAGAGTGGGGGGGGGGGGGGGGGTTGTGGTCTACAGGTTGCCGTATTCGCCCCTCATCTAATAGGCTCTGGGTTCGAAAACTTACAGCGACAGAACATTTTCTTCTCGATAGTT